TCACTAGCTTAAAGCCATGAACATCAAGATTATTACACGGGATTCTACCGACAACAAAGTCGAATCCGTCAAATCTACTCATCAATTGCTCCAACCGATCACCATTCAGTTCTTGCACATCTGTTTTCAAAGATATACTAAGACAATAGAAGGTGATCTTTGCAGCACTGATTCCAACAAAAGGAAACAAGACATTGATATCACTGGGAAATATGTCTCTATATAGATCCTTGTGTATGGTTTTTAAAGAAAACTAGAAGCATTTCCACCTCATCAGGTTCAAGTGGAGCAACTTTATTCCTTCCAACCCATACTAGATTCCATTTTCAGCATTCATTAAGAACATACTTCTGGACACTCTAAGGTGGCTCATTGTCATAAGCTTCAAGAACCTTACAGATCCTTTCTGTCAATTTGGCACTTCCTGTACATGTTTATAAACAGTTTAACTTTATTCTTGGATTCCAAGAAGGCCATCATTTCTTTGTCAATGGAAAAGCATCAGCACATGAAAGAAGCAGAATAAGAGAAACTCTGTTGGCAGATTATGAATATAGCCTTTTTTAGTGTAGCAGCATGGAAATGCTTCGAATCTACAAATTCTGGCTTTACATCGAATAAGTACTGTGATATCCCAGTCCAAACATTAAATGGAAGATGAATTACCAATAGCATCTTCTGGAAGTGTTCTTTGAGTTATCTGACCTGGTTTAACAGAACCAATCATTGAATTTGGAAGATGAATTTACCAATAGCATCTTCTGGAAGTGTTCTTTGAGTTATCTGACCTGGTTTAGCAGAACAGTCATTGAATTTGGAAGATGAATTTACCAATAGCATCTTCTGGAAGTGTTCTTTGAGTTATCTGACCTAGTTTAGCAGAACAATCATTGAATTTAGAGATGAATTTGCCAATAGCATCTTCTGGAAGTGTTCTTTGAGTTATTTGATCTGATTATATAGAATCAAGCATTGAATTGGAAGATGAATTTGCCAATAGCATCTTCTGGAAGTGTTCTTTGAGTTATCTGATCTGGTTGGACAGAACAATCATTGAATTTGGAAGATGAATTTGCTCATAGTAAAAATAAGGATACTCAATAGCATCTTCTGGAAGTGTTCTTTGAGTTATTTGATCTGAAGAAGTGCATCAGCAGCCTTAGTCATTTGAGCAGCATATAAAATTTGCCAATTCTGCAATTAATGAATTTGGACCACACATCTCTACATGGCTATTGAAGCTTCAGCCTTTGAGAATCCCATTTTTGTCAAGTATAACAGTTTATTCTCCTCATCAGAATCAGAATTCAAGATTTCTCGGTATTAGAAGAACTATCGATATCTGTGAAATCATCTTGAAAGGTTACTTCATAATCAGATGAGTTGTTATCAGAATCAACATGTTGCCTGAATGCAAGCTTTTCAGAGCCTATACTATTGAGTTTTATTCTCAAGAGATTTTTGTGACATTATATCTACATTTGTCAAAGATGATAGATTTCTTTCATTTGAAGAAGAAAAATCTATTGGGTTTTTACAATTGAAGAAATACTCAGTTCACCAATCTGAAATCAAATAACTTAACATTCATGCATCATATTTTAGGTGTTTACAAAAATAGGTGCATTTTCATTCATTTTCATCTATGTTGAATTTTTAACAGGAATTTCAAAGATTTTAGCAAAGATTCAAATCTATCAATTGATGGATTATTTTTGAAGAGAAGGTTCATGAGAAGAACTCATCTGAAGAAGGAAGAAAATTCATAATGAGAAGAATTTGTTCAACCTTTTACCTGAATCCATCATTTGGTGGATCATCTTTTCCAGAGAAAGTTCATAATGAGAAGAACTCATCTGAAGAAGGAAGAAGAAATTCATAATGAGAAGAATTTGTTCAACCTTTTACCTGAATCCATCATTTGGTGGATCATCTTTTCCAGAGAAAGTTCATAATGAGAAGAACTCATCTGAAGAAGGAAGAAGAAGTTCATAATGAGAAGAATTTGTTCAACCTTTTACCTGAATCCATCATTTGGTGGATCATCTTTTCCAGAGAAAGTTCATAATGAGAAGAACCCATCTGAAGAAGGAAGAAGAAGTTCATAATGAGAAGAATTTGTTCAACCTTTTACCTGAATCCATCATTTGATGGAACAGCTTTTCCAGAGAAGGTTCATAATGAGAAGAACTCATCTGAAGAAGGAAGAAGAAATTCATAATGAGAAGAATTTGTTCAACCTTTTACCTGAATCCATCATTTGGTGGATCATCTTTTCCAGAGAAAGTTCATAATGAGAAGAACTCATCTGAAGAAGGAAGAAGAAGTTCATAATGAGAAGAATTTGTTCAACCTTTTGCTTGAATTCATCATTTGATGGATCAACATTGCCAGGTAAAGTTCATAATGAGAAGAACTCATCTGAAGAAGGAAGAAGAAGTTCATAATGAGAAGAATTTGTTCAACCTTTTGCTTGAATTCATCATTTGATGGATCAACATTGCCAGGTAAAGTTCATAATGAGAACTCATCTGAAGAAGGAAGAAAAAGTTCATAATGAGAAGAACTCATCAAGAGCTTATTCAACCTTTTGAATGACTCTATCACAAAAAGGAGGTCATCATCATCCCCAGCAGAAAGTTCATAATAAGAAGAACTTATTTGGAGAAAAAAAAAGAATTTATTCAATATCTCCATAATGATCAAAGTAAAGTCAAATGGATAAAAAATTTTATTATCTTTTCATCTTTGCCCTATTCTTGTTAACACAAGAATGAGCAAAGAGGGGCAGCTGAAGATACTAAATTTTTTTATCCATTTATTATTATTATATATTATTATTATTATTATTATTATTACTATTATCATTATTATTATTATTTATTATTATTATTATTATATTATTATTACTATTATTATTAAATATATTAAATACATATAAATATTATTAAAAATAAATAAATAATAAAAAATATAATTACAGGCCCAATTACAATTGGACCGGCCCAGTTACAAACCAACCAGAGCCGGTCCAAATCCAACCAGAAACCCTAAATATTGGGTTTCCAGTTAGGGTTTCCTAACCCTAATCTAGCCAGCCGCCATCTTCAATCTCAACCGTTGGATCTGGTTTGATCCAACGGTCCACCATTTGCCAGAGGAACCCTAGGGTATCTATACCCTAGGGACACGTCCCAGCGCCGCCGCTGCTGCTTCCAGAAGCTCTCACCGCCTCCGCCGCTGCCACGTCCCGAATGATGCTTCCAGAAGATCAACGCCAGCCGTCCATGCAAGGCTACGGGGTGAGTCACCACTGGTAGTCCGGTGACTCACCGAGGCCCCCTCTTCGGACCGGTCTGAGACGAACACCGGTGGTGGCTATAAAAGCCACCACCCATCTGCGAAAAAAGAAAAAGAAGAAAAGGGAGACAAAAAACCAGGGACAGAGACAGAACCAAAAGAAAAAAAAAAGGGAAATAGAGAGAGATATAAAACTACCAACGATCCCAACAGAGCAAAAACAAAAACAGAAGGAAAAGAGAGGAGAGAAGCTTACCAAGGAAGCCTTGACCGTCGCCGGAAACACTGAACATCGCCGGAGAACCGAAAATACCGAAGGTATATTTATAGATCTGCTCCGATTGGGAGCCATTTAAGGAAAAAGAACATCGGAACCGTCCTTAGGACGGTCCGATCTATCCAATAGTATAAAAATAAATTTTCCGGCCACCGGATGCGGTGGCCGGCGGGGACACTCGCGGCGGCAGACGGCTGCCGGATTCCCTCCGTGAGGGAATCTAGAGAGAGGCCAGAGAGAATTCTCTCTCTCTCTCTCTTCTGCTTAAAGAAAAAAAAAGAAGAAATGAAATGGCTGGCCCTTCGGGCCAGCCGTTTGGACCATTTATAGTCCTTCCCGAACGACGTCGTTTCGGGAAGGACTATGCGCGTAATTACAAAATAGTTAAATCCCGTCCGTAGTCCTCCCAACTTGTAAATTTTATATTTTGGTCACTAAACTGAATTTATAATAATTTTAATTCAGTCTTCGAATTTTAATTTCTTTTATTTAGTCCTTCATATTAAAATAATATATTTAGGATAAATTACAGATTTAATCCATTATTTTAATAAATAATATTTTAATCCTTAGTTTATTTTTAATTTATTTTATTATAATATCCGAATTTTAGATCATTTTATTTTAGTCACTAAATTATTAAATAAAGAAATAACATATTTAATCCCTATAATTTTGATTAATATGAATTAGATTTTTAATTTTATTTTTACTATAATTTAGTCCGTTTTTTATATGTCTTCATTTATTTTATTGTTTTTAAATATATTGTTTTAATAGTATTTTTATTTTTATTTTATTTTATTATATTATATTATTAAATATTTTTATATATTCATAAAATATATAATAAATAGTAATTTTTAAATATTTATTTTAATATCGAAGAAAGGACAGTCTTAATACAACTGGATGTCCTATTCTGATATTTTAAAATTAAAAAGTAAACAATATTATTTAAATTAATATTTATCAATATCAAAGAAAAGAGCTGTCTTAAGGCACCTAGAAGTTCTTTTCAGATATTTTTAAATAAATAAATTTTTTATATAATTTTGAAATAATAGAATTATAAATTAAATATATTTTTGAATTTTAAAAATTTTAATAATAGAGACAATTTATAAATAAAAAAAAGTACCAATTTTGGGCGTTGTAGGGGTGCTAATCCTTCCCTAAACGTAACCGACCACGAATCCCTTTTATTATTAAAAAGAACGAATTTTTGGTTAAAACGCAGATCAGTTTATCTTTTAATTGATGTTTTCTTAAAAACTCTTTTAAAAGATATTTTTTTTAGGTATTCGACCTACCTGACCCAAAAGGCCGATGGCGACTCCCAAATTATTTTCAAAACCATTTATTCACATCAATTTCCCCGCCAAAATTAATATTTCGTGCCCCGACGAAAACCGGTTACGACATCATCAATGGTGTTTGGAGGAAAGCACTTAGAGATATAGATATTAAAGGTAGTTTCATTCTAGTGTTGCTTTGAACTTGAATCTGCATAAATATGGGGGAAAATCATTTACGAACTTTGTTTTTGCAGGTTATTTAATACCAAAGGGATGGTGTGTCCTAGCATCTTTTATTTCTGTTCATATGGATGAGGAAATTTATGAAAACCCATATCTTTTTTATCCATGGAGATGGGAGGTATAGCTCAAAATAATTGCAGAAAAACATAAATTTAAGAGAGAGAAAATAATGGGTTTAATTTGTTTGTTTCTTCAGAGACTTGGAGCTGCTGTTAACAACAACAGCTTTACACCATTTGGAGGTGGGCAGAGGCTTTGCCCTGGTTTAGAATTATCAAGGCTTGAAATTTCAATCTTCCTCCACCATCTTGTCACCACGTACAAGTAATTCAATCCAAAATATTGTTTTTCATGGTTGAATTTTTCTTCAGATTTTTGCCATCTCTTACGGTTATGTCGAAATTCGAAAACAACCCCGTGTTCTGTTAACTTGTTATATATGCAGATGGGTAATCGTTTACTTTCCGACAGTTAAGATGAAGAAGAAGCTGCCACTCAAGGTCACCCCTTATGCAACTGCCGTAGTTCTGCCCATCCATGAAACACAGTACAAAAGAATCTAATATATACATATATAGTTTCAGTTGGATAGATATATGCAGACAGAAACTTTGGAAGTTTTGTCCCCACACCAGAAAGGAGCCATTGGGAATGGGATTTGTATAGCTGCATCTAAGCAATGATCTTTTGAGGAAGATGGGCTGTGTATTATGGTGTTGGTCTCACGTCGCCATCCTTTTTTTTAATAGTAATAGAGGTATTTGGGCCGTATTCTTTGGTCCTATATTGAATGCAAGTGGGGATCGTATAATCTAATGTAACTTTCATGCCTAAAAGCTTTAATTCATCATATTTAACATTATAAATTCGATTAAAATTCATGTATAATTTGTTAGATAAAATATTAATTCGAGAAAAATAATAATAATAAAATAAACATTATGAATTAACCGAAGCAAAATAAAAATAAAAGAATAAATTATTACTCGTATGTAAATATAGAATCAGATGAATAGAGTCGGATAAAAAAAGAATTTTTGTTGAGGCATGTATAAACATTTTTCCTTAAGACAGATTCGTCATCTCCTTGGTGTTTTGAGTGACGTTGGATTTCAGTCTCTCACGATACAATAACAAAGGACCACAACAGTAAGCACAACAACAGTGATCAGTTGAACACAATCTTGTTTTCAGTCTCTCACAATACAATAACAAATGATCACAACAGTAGTGTTCAGTCGAAAACAATCTTGCATTTCTCTATCACTAGAAAGAATGAAATTAAAATGAATTTTCTAAGTCTTTTACTATTCAAATATTATGTCTAAATTGTGCCTTAACTAGTCTATATATAGTTGAGGAGAAATGAGTTTAAAGGTTAAGACCATTTGATGAAGAGACTTGGACTTTGATGAAGAGAATTGTTAGAAAATTAACAGATATGATTGAATGGATGCAGCTTTAAACTAAGAAATAAGTTTAATCAACAAGAAATAAATAATTATTTTTTCAACAATTCTCTTCGTCAAAGGTTAAGCCTCTTCATCAAATGGTCTTAGTCTTTCAATTCATTTCCTCCTCACTATATAGGCTAGTTGATACATAATTTTGACATAACTTTGTAATAGGAAAACATTTATAAAATTCTTTCAAACTTATTCTTTCTAGTGATAGAGAAAGATAAGATTATGTTTGATTGATCATTATTGTCGTGTTGACTATTGTGATCATTAATTGTTATATCCTAAGAGACTCAAGTCTAATACTCAAAACAACGAAGGAGGATAAATTTATTTTAAGAAAACTATTTAATAGTATGAATGATACAATATTTAAAGTTCAGCGACATACGAAATAGTTTGCCTTCAATAACATTTATAATTAAACTCATTATTGATTTCACCTATACAAATAATTGATCCCAGCACAAAGGAGGGTAAAAAATGATGCATTAATGAAAAAGGAGCAAATCCACATCACCATAATTTGGAATTATAAAGGTTTCTTAAATGAATTAGGCAACAAGTTGAGGCAAGTCAAAGGCCCTAATGGCTAAATGGTCTTATTTTTAGGGTGGGGATTGATAAAAGACGAAACCAAAGACCATTGCAGATATGATGACAGCCCCCACCAAAGTCATTCCACAGTGGCATTATGCATAGGACACACTGCCCATTCAACCTTTTTTTATCTGTTTATGAGGCCCTTATTCCTCACTCAATCAACCTTATTAATTACCCAAGATTCACTCTGATAATATTTATATTAACTTATAGTTATTGTATAGGCTACAGTGCCATGCAAAAAATGGGCCAAAAGCATGTGAAAACCCCAGTGAGAATCCAATTGCGAGAGGGGGTCAAACGGGAAAGTCCAATAATAAGAGTTGTGATAGCGAAATTCAAAACTCTGATGGGAGAGAATCTTGTGGGGAACCATATGCCATTTCTGAAATAGGCCTTATCGATGACCTAATCATTTTTGAAGTTGTCCAGGATCCATTGCATAGTCCCTTTAATCCGGTAGATGTCACAGTTAAAGCTACCAATGTAGAAATAACCCGCCCTAGTGCTCGTCAGCTCAATAATGGTATTCCCTCAAGTCAAGAAGTAAGAGGTAAGACCATAAAGAACATAGAAATGCCCTCAGAAGGGGAATATTTGAAGTTTTGAAAATGTAAGCCCATACCATACAAAAAACGAAAGAAAACAATTTTGTTAGATATATGAGCAAAAGTCAAAAGGAAGAAAACTGATTGCAGGGATAGTTCTTCAATCAACTTGCCTTCCCAGATCTTCTCAAGTGGATGTCCAGGTGGGAGAATTCTTTCTGAAGCGGAAACTATTCTTGAAGTTAGTAGAATACTGGGAGTCAATTTTGATGCTCCAGATGATGTAGTTCTTAGTCACTTACAGGAGGTTGAAGAAGTGGAAATGCAGAGAAACCTGAATAGTGGCTAGTGTGAAATGTTTTTCTCTGTGAGTTTTCTTGTTTAAGCATGATTTTTATTTTATAACATGGAATGTAAGAGATCTTGGCAGGGCGGAAAAGTTGAAGGCTGTTAGGAGAGTCATCTCAACTAGCAAAGCAAAAAATATTTATTCAGGAAACCAAGTTAGTTATACAGAAGCATTGGTTAAGTTTCAAACTTTGGGGAGCAAGCGAAGGAAAAATGGTGTTCTCTCCATCGATTGGAGCTTCTGGTGGTCTTATATCCTTATAGGATGAGAGCTTCTTTCAGTTGGAATCTACCAACATCAATAACATATTCATACTTCTGATCGGATCTATTCAAGAGTTAAATTTGAGATGTGGTCTTTTAAATATTTATGCTCCCACGAAGCAAGCAAAAGGAGATCTTTCTTGGAAGGCTTGTCTGAGATGATCGAAGCCCTTAAGTTGCCATTGATAATAGGAGGAGACTTCAACCAAGTCTTTTCGAGCTCGGATAAATTTGGAGGACCAACGAATATTCACGCTGCTAACATCCTAATGGAGTTCATACAGATAAACAATTTGGTCGATCTTCCTCTATCAGGCAGCTCCTTCACATGAGAAAGGTCCGGATCGGAACCAAAAGCTTGCAGACTTGACATGTTCCTAATATCTCCAGAGGTTTTAATCTTGGTGCCTTTTATAACTAAAAAAACTTTGGCCAGAGGTACGTCAGACCATAATCATGTGCTGCTAAAGATTGAAAACCAAGGATCGAGAGCTCGATCATTCAAATTTTTCACTCATTGGCTAGAGGACCCATATTTTTGTGAAATCAACTAAGAGGGTTATTGAAGAAAACTATGGAACAGGAGTGGGTAACATTCTCCAGATAGTTAAATTAGCCGCAAAGCTTTGGGCTAAGGATGTCAAAAACAAATAGTCTATGTCTATCAGCGACATTGAATCGAAAATCGAAAAGTTAAAAGCGGATCTCCTATCATCTCTGATCCAGAGAACGTCTGATTGACTATCCAATCCCACATAGCTTCCCTTTGGACGAGACTTAGAAGAGAGGAACGAGAATGGCTCAAAAAGTCTTGCCTTAAATGGTTTAAAGATGGTGACAAAGAACACCAATTTTTTTTCATTCGGTTGCTTCAATTCGAAACAGTTGGACCTGAATTTGTTCAAACTTCAAAGTTTTCAAAATAATTCAAAGTTCAATAAACTCGAATTTGATCACAAAACTATTTTATGGGTACGTAGTATCGATACTGTAAGAACAGTATCGATACTACATGAATAGTGGCGATAGTATAGATATGTTTATGTGGTACTGATACCAAAAGTAAGAGAAGTATCGATACTCTCTAGATAATATCGATACTACCAGATGTTTTCCAAATAACTCAAATTCCAAAATGAAAAATAAGTATTGATACCCAAGGGGTACCAATACTACTTTACATGTAGTATTGATACTGGTCAAGCCCAACGGTCTTTAACGGTTATTTTATTTAAAAATTATAAATATAGTACTGATACTCATTAAAGGAGTACCGATACTCCTTGTCCTGGGCAATTTTATTTTGCAGAAAATTTATCCCCAACAGCTCCAAATCATCCCCAACGGCTAGAAACGACCACAGTCTCATTCCAACATATAAAACAAGTTGATGACACTTGAAGAAGTGTTAGAACACCTATCCAAGCAATCAAACACAATAGAAGAGTTTTTCATTCTTATTTTTCCTTTCTCTTGTAAATATTCTTGTTCTTGTGAGCTTAATTCTTGTAAACACCTACCTTAGAGAGGTTTTCTTGTTTACTCTTTTTATTCCTTTTGTAAAGGAGACTGATTCTATCTTAGCCATTGAAAAGATAGGGAGTGTAAAGGTTATCTCTTGATCTTGTAAAAAATAAATTAGTAAATTTGTTAGAAAATCCTTAGTGATAAGCTAAGGTAATGGATGTAGACTTGGTTGACAAGTCGAACCACTATAAATCCTTGTACTAATGTCTATCTTTTTAATCTCCTTACTCCCTAATCTCAAAAATCAATTCAACCCTTCTTGGAAAATCATTCGATTAATCATTGAGCTTCATTCGAAAAACCCAATACTTTGCCTTTCTTGAACCATTTTCGCGGAATATATAATAAGATTTATAAGTTGTGAGTGAAATTATTTGATGTTGATAAGAAGAAGCTGAATGTTGAGTCTGCCTCAGGTTTAGAAGCGCCATTCACAGTGGAAGAAGTTTGGTCAGCTATAGTTTCAGTAGATGGCTCAAGAGCTTCTGGCCCAAATGGATTTAACCTGATTTTTACAAAAAAAAATTGACACTCCTTCAAAGTTGACGTGATGAATTTCTTTAATGACTTCCACCAAGGGGAATTAAAGGATACCTCATTAAACTACTCCTACATTGCTCTCATTCTGAAGAATCCTAATCCGAAAAGATTTGATGATTTCAGACCTAATAGCTTGGTGGGTAGTCTTTATAAAATTCTATCTCGAGTTCTCTTGAAGAGACTATCAGGTTGTATCGGTGATATTGTTAGCAAGACACAGTTCGCTTTTATGCCAAACAAACAAACACATCATTGATTGTGTTTTAATTGCCAATAGGGTGATAGATTATTGTAAGAATAGCAAAGAAAAGTCGTAGTATTCAAAGTAGACTTTAAAAAGGCTTATGATACTGTAGATTGGGGTTTTACAAAAGATGAGTTTCGGGGACAAATGGAGAAATGGATTAAAATGTGTGTTTCTATCGCAACCATATCAGTGTTGGTAAATGGAGCCCAACATCTAGTTTTAAGATAAGTAGAAGTCTGCGGCAAGGATGCCCACTTTCCCCACTCTTGATCTCATTGTGGAAGCTCAGTTCACTTTTGCGGAAAGCAGTCGATTTCGGGCTAGTTAAAGGTTTGTCATTGGACAACAATGGCTTGGAAATTTCCCACATTTAATTCGCTAATGATATTCTTCTTTTCTCAGAAGCATCCGAGAACAGTGTCTCTAATATCAAGAGGGTTCTTCAAATATTCGAGATTTCATCTGGACTCAAATTAAATATGCAAAAAATGAAGCTGATGGGAATAAATATGGAGAGTAGTGTTTTGGACTCATGGGCTGGAGCGATAAAATGTAATACTGAGGCGTTTCCTAGTAGCTATATCGGGCTCCCATTGGGCCATCGACGCAATTCTAAATCGTTGTGGCAGCCTATCATTGAAAAATTTCAAGCCATATTGGATGGGTGGAAAGGTAAAATGCTCTCTTTTGAAGGAATGTTAACTTTGGTAAGGGTTGTCCTATCAAATTTACCAGTTTATTACACTTCTTTGTTCAAATTGCTGAGGATTATTGCGACCAAACTTAATAAAATGGTAGAAAACTTCATTTGGGATCCTTCGTCGAATTGACCTATTCATTGGATAAAATAGATAATATAGTGAAACCAAAAGATTGTGGAGGGTTTTGGTTTCTATGATATCCTTATTCGAAATAGATCGCTTCTCAACAAATGGTTGTGGAGATATGGTTTCGAGCCAAATAGTTTATAGAGAAAGAAGATTGATGGAAAAAAGGGTGATGCTTTGAGCGCCTCCTTCCTAATCCAGTTAAGCGTGGTAAAGTTTCATGGATTTGGAAAAATATTTCAAAGCCACTATTCAAATCTAATGGCGTTTTATGGGCAATTTAAAATTAATCCTTGGTGATGGTCAAAGAATCAATTTTTAGGAGGATCCTTGGGCTGGGGAAGCCCCACTTAAATATATGTTCCCCCTGATTTTCGCACAAACAAAGAAAAAGTTTGGTAAAGTTAGTGAGTTTGGGTTCAAAGCAAACGAAACATGGGAATCTGTGGTGAACTTAATAGAAACTTGTTTGATTGGGAGGTAGTTCAATGGAGATTTTTCTTCAGATTCTCAATCAAGCTGCTTCAAACTCATCATTACAGGACTGCCTCAAATGGTCTATAAGTTCATCGGGTACTTATTCACCTAAGGCTTTCTATGAGATTGTTGTTTGAGATGGGGAGTCTGCTGACCACATTTGGAAATATGTTTGGGCAGGATTGGCTCCTCCGAAAGTGGAGTTTTTTGTTTGGAGAGCAATCCAAAACCGTGTCCCAGTAAGAGCTGAACTCTTGAAGTAAGGTGTACGCAACGTAGAAAGGGACAAGTGTGCATTTTGTGGAACAGTAGAAGAACAGGCATACCTCTTTTTTGTCAATACGAGGTTTCATAGATTGTCTGACATGAGAGGTGAAAATGTTGGAGTGTTAATCTAGTTATGTCGAGAACTTTAAAAAATCTTCTCCTAATATGGGAAGCATTATCACCAAAACTATCGATGAATCCTCCATGGCAATTAGCATTTTTCGACATCGTTTGGTCCCTTTGGTTAGCTCTCAATGGGGTGATATTCAACAAAAAAGCTTGGGAGGTAAAGAGTATCGTGGATTTAGTGACCCTGAGAATTAGAATTTGGGCCAAAAACAATAGTCAGAGGTGATTATCTCTCTCAATGACTTTACAAGATGCCCATCCGCAATATCTTTTACTTTGCACATGCAAAGCAGACCATCAAATGGTTCTTGGATTGCACCTTCATTAGGTAAATTGAAATTTAATGTGGATGCAACAGTTTATGGCAGCGTTGGTGAAGCTAGAATAGGAGGAATTCTCCATGACCATAGGGGGAAGTTACTTATTCGTTTTTATAGAAACATCAGAATTTGGACCCCTTAAGTGATTAACTGATTGTTATACTTGAAGCGTGCCAATTATTCTCCTTTTTCAAGTGGGATGAGAATGACATCTTAATAATCGAATCAGACTGCCTTAAAGCGATAAATTGGATCGAGAACCCCAGTAGCGCACCAAAGCATTTTGAAGGTTTAGTCGAAAAATGTAGGGCGACTACTTAAGTCGGTCCTGAAAAGTTTCTTTTGCTTATAGAGAGAGAAATATAGAAGCACATGACCCATCTCAAGAAGGTGCTCGAGGAGTTTTCCCTTTCGTGTGGATGAAAGTTCCTGTAACTAGTTGATGGTGTCTTGTAGTTTTCTCCGTGGTGTGAAAAGGTTTTGCAAAGCCGTGTGGCACTTTGTTCAAGCCAATGATCCTCTTTGCTGCCTTATAATTTCGAGAGTTTGTCCATTTAATGTTTACTCACCGTATTAGTGATCAAGTAATAATTAAAGGAGAGGTTTGGCTGTATAACTAATTCTGATCAGTGCATATGACTAGCTCCTACATGAGGCTTTAGAAGCTTGGATGGATGGAAAAGACATTTACACCCAAATTGATGTTTGACCTTGGAGTTGCAGTAAGTTTATGAAAGGATGGGTAGTTTAAGGTGTGTGAAATTTGGTGAAAGTGGGAATCACTCTGAATAAGAGTATTATGAATACAGAGGTTTCCAAGCAAAGTACCTCTGGTTAAACAATCGATCAGATTTGAGTAACAAGGTATTGTTGTTGAGCTACGATAGTTTCTATTTAATTGAGGATGTATAATTGATAGTGGATGTTGAAGGAAGATCTTTGGAATGGTCTGAAGGATTGATCATTGGCCCTTAGTAATTTAATTCATTGTGGGCTCTCTGATATGGAATTTTTGTGGTTGTGTTTGTAAACTAGCCTTGTTGCTAAATCTTGTCTATTGTTAGAGTTCGCGCTTATAACTTCTAGGTGCGCACAACTCTTAATTTTTATTAATCATTCATGTGTGTATTTGATTCATTGTGGCTTAGGTTGGGACACTCTTTTTCCTCCACTTAGGTTTAGAGAGGTTATTTAATGAGGTCTCTATCTCAGCTATCGTCCTGGTGTGGCTTGATAATGATAATAAAATAATTTGTTTCCTTTAAAAAATGATGCTCCATATATTTTCAAATTAAACTTCTTGGCAATGCCCACACAATTACATCATACATAATTGTCGATGCCACCGATGTGTAATCGGTCGAGATGCAATATTCATCGTATATTGTTGCATTTCATTGAAGTCTAATACAATGTTATTATAAGTCAGTGCTATCAGATCAGACAATTATTCTAAAACGCTGTCAACATTTATAAGAGTAAAGAAAATGAGAATGAGCTATAGGATAATGCTTTACTTACTATATTCATCTTATGTACAATCAACTAATGTATTTATATATTTTATTAACAACTAAATTGCTACTAACAACCTAACTAACTTCTACTAACTTTCTAACTAGTTTCTTACACCCCCTCAAGTTGGAGAATGATTAATGTCTTTCATTCCTAACTTGACCTTCAAACGTTCATGTTGGTTTTTCCCTAGGCCTTTTGTGAAAATATCAATCTATTGTTCTTTAGTTGAGACTGCTGGTACAAACAACCCCTTTTGTATCTGCTCACGAACAAAGTGAAAATCGATCTCAATATGCTCGTTCTTTCATGATACACCAGATTTGCTGCAATGTGGAGTGCAGCCTGATTATCACAATACAATGTTGTTGGCTCATGGTGCTCAATTCCAGTTCCTTAGTCAATCCTCTCAACCAAACTAATTATGCTATAGTAAATGCCATACACTTGTATTCAGCTTCAACTGATGATCGCGAGATTGTGCTCTGCTTCTTAGACTTCCAGCAGATGAGAGAGTCTCCCAACTTAACATAACTAGTAACAGAACGCCTTGACATTGGACAAGCAGCCCAGTCAAAATCACAAAATGCAACCAAGTTGGGCTACTTTTGACTGAAAACAAAATGTCTTCTCCTGGATTTTTCCGAATATATCACAATACGCATAGTTGCTTCATAATGAACTTTCTTTGGAGCTTGCATAAATTGACTTAAAAGCTTAACAACATACATTATATCTGGGGCAAAGTATATGTTAAGTAAATGAGCCTTTCAATCAATCTTTGATACATTCCAGTATCTTCTAAAAGCTCATCAGAATGATGCTCAACGTGCATATCATACTCAGATGATGTAAGCTTTTGATTCTACTCAATAGGAGTAGAAATACTACGTGCATTCCCCAAACCAGAATCTACAATGAGCTTTAAGGCATATTTTTGTTGACTTAGAATGATTCCTTCTATAGTTCGTACAACCTCAATGCCTAAAAAAATACTTGAGTTACCCCAAATCTTTCATCTTAAAATTCCTGTGAATGATGTTTTTCAACTCTTCTATCATTCCACTATCATTGCCTGTGATTAAGAGATCATCCACATAAATCACATTATTACTAATTTTCACCCTATCGTTTGTGAAAAACGAGTAATCATAAAGGCTTTTCACATAACCCTAGCTGTAAGGGCTTCAATCAACTTTAAGTTCCATTGATGAGATGCCTACTTCAAACCATATAATGATTTGAGCAGCCTGCATACTCTAAACTTCCCCTGGTTGCGAAAAACCATCTGGCAGCATCATATAAACCTCTTCATGAAGATCACCTTGTAAGAAAGCATTGAAGACATCCATTTGATATACTCCCATCCAAACATAGCACCATGGCAATAACAGTACGAACAATGACTTGTTTTGCCACAGTGAAAAAGTATCATGGAAGTCAATACCTTCACACTGACTATAACCTTTAGCAACTAACCAGGCTTTAAATCTTTCAATTAAACCATCAAAGTTATACTTGATCCGGTATACCCATTTGCAACCAATGGGTCATTTATTAGGGGTAGATCAACCACTTTCCAAGTACCATTCGCCTCTAGAGCATGAATTTCATGTGCATAGCTTCTACCCAGCGTTCATCACGAGCTGCCTCATGGTAGGTTTTAGGTTCAATAGAGATAAGGAAGAAACATCAAAACTGGTGTTTGTAAAGATAAATGAGGAAAAAAAAAAGATGATTAGAAGAAGAAAGTGTACATGCTTGCTGAAGTATAAGAAGAGGATTGAGAAGGACAAACAAAATTAGATAACGGGAAGGTGGTTAGTAACCCGAGTAGAATACCATAAAGGAGATGAACTAGATACAATGGCTGACTCGATAACCGAGAAGATGAATGACATGAAACAGGAATCGAGGCTAAACCAAAAGCTATATTTTAAGCATTTGTAGTTTCAGGGTTGCATGAAAACTTATGCACATATGAAGACTCATCACGTGAATATGCATTGTTACAACTAGAATATGAAAAAATCTTGATCAAGGTCACTAGGCAATGTCGAGATATGAAACAAAGGAGAATTTTTAACTGGAAACTGAAAAAAAATAGACTCATGAAATACCACATCACGATTAAAAAAGGGGATTTAGAACTTAAACTAAAAATGACATAACCCTTCTGCACCAACGAATATCCCATAAAACCGAAGGAACAGACCTAAAAGAAAAATTTTCATGATTGTTGGGGATAATAGCATAACAAAGATACCCAAATACTCTAAGATGTGAAAGACTAGACACCTTCCCTTAAAGTATTTGAAATGGTGTTTTCCATTGAAGAACCCTGGTTGGCAGCCTATTAATTATGTAACAGACAATTTGAATACATTCACCCCAGAATTTAATTGGAACAAAAGACTGAAACTTAATAGCACGAGCAACATTAAGCAAATGCTGGTGTTTTCGCTCAGTAACCCAGTTTTGTTGGGGCGCATGAACACAAGAACTTTGATGAACAATCCCTTGAGAATAAAAGAAAGCACTGCCTTCATTACTAAAGAATTCCCAACCATTATCACTTCTCACAGTTTTAACTTTACAGAAAAATTATTGTCAACATAGACAAAATGATTGTTTAAGGGTGGACAAATGCATCACTTTTGAGTCTAAGTAAAAAACACCCATGTCATACGCGTATGATCATCAACAACAGTTAAGAAATATCTATGTCCAATATGTGTTGAAATACGATACGTTCCCCAGAGATCAATGTGAATAAGAGAAAATGCAGTTGACTCACGAGAATCACTCATAGGAAATGGTAAATGAGTTTGTTTAGCAAGTGGACAAACACCACAACTTTTAACATGATCAACATTAGACAAATTGCTATGTAACTGAGACATTTTATTCAAAGTACTCAAAGAGGTATGGCCAAGTCGTTCATGCCATAGTACATCATTATCTGATTTAACAAGTAGAAGACAAATAAGAATTTTTGCTGGAAATAACATGACAAACCGCGAGCTGGGTGACTTTAAAATGTAGGAACCTTAGCAGAAATAAAGTTTCAGCCAAAGAAGAGGTTGATCTCCTTCAATATTCAAGACACCATGTTAGCAGTAGATCCCTTATGCTTAGTAAACTTGTAATCAGAGGATACCAATTAGCTTGTAGCACGTTTCCTTCTTATGTCCTTTGATATGACAATAATCGCACACTCCATTGAAACTTTTCTTGACTGAGTGCTAGAGTAGAATGCAGTAGGTTCTAAACATTGGCTAATATTCATGTATTTTGACGCTGATCTTCCTCTTGAAAAAGCATGGAATACGCTTGATTTACAGAAGGTAAAGGTTTTAACAACAATATTTGATTGTGTACCATAGAGTAGAAATCATTCAATCCCATAAGAAATTGAAAAAGTCGTTGATGATGAACATGTTTCGTATTCTGCTGAGAAAATTCACAGTTGCACACAGCGAAAGGAGCAATAGCATATATTCATCCCAGAGCAATCGCAAGCGTGTGTAATAAACCAAAATGGAAGACGTACCTTGAGAATGAGAAACAATTTCTCGATGCAGAAAAATAACACGTTGAACCATCAATCTTATAAAATGTTCTTTAAGATCTTCCCAACACGTAATGCATTTTAAGCAAAAACTATTCCTGTTGAAAGTTCTTGACTAACCGTATTCAAGATCCACGAAAGAAAAATGACATTGGAACGCTCCCATTATGCCAAAAGATATGGAGAAGACCTTCACGAGAACAAGTTCCATCTATGAATCCAATCTTGTTCTTGGATAATAAAGCAATGCGCATGGATTTGCTCCATAGATTGTAGTTTTCCACACCAGTTAGCTTATCGTTCCCGGAGTGTCTGAAGGATAAAGATAGCGAGTATGATTGTAGTCAATTTGAGTTGTCTCCGGTTAGACCATGATTGTGCAAAAACAAAGAACAAGAAAGATAGCAATTAAACCAACTCACGAAAACAAACTACCGGAAACAACTGCCGACGATGGCCTTTGATACCATGTCAACATTTATACGAGTAAAGAAGATGATAATGAGCTATATGAAGTAATGCTTTACTCACTATATTCATCTTATGTACAATCAAACTAATTGATTTATCATATTTAATTAACAACTAAACTGCTACTAACAACCTAACTAACTTCCTAACTAGCTTCTTAACATACGCATTGCGATTGGCATGTAATGCTCTAGTAGTATCACCATAATCAATTTAACCATAGTGTCCTTTTCATCAAAATATTTTATGAATTTTCATAGTTTGCATTCAACGATGATATTCTTGAATAAAAAAGTTTTGTAATCATTATTCTTCATTGGTCATTATCATCTTACGATTGTGGTCCGTCAATGAATGAACACACCTAATTAATAATTTTATTGTCAACAACGTTAGAGATAATGTTGAAAATCTTTAAAATAATGACGATAATGATCCTATTAAAGACAGTTTTTACAAAGAAATCTTACTCATAATCGAAAATCATTGTACCGTGGATACACTGATGAGTTTGATGTCATTGATTAATTTAGTCTCAACTTAATAGTAAAACGATTTAAATATTTATAAATCATAATTAATATTGTTATAAGAATTTGTTTATCTTATTCAATTTTAATAAAGTTTTTTTTAACCATGGTAACTAGATTTCATTAATAATGAAAGTAATCAAAATTACATGCATCAAAATATAGAGAGAAATTTGGAGACAAGTCACAAAAAACTCATACAAAAGTAAAAACTAAACCTAAAGAAACGAAGAAAATAAAATATTCAATTGAGAATGACGACCAACGTCAAAAGCCAATAACCTCCAAAAATTCCTTATCTCTGTCGAATAAGACACTTTACAAAGTGATAAAGGAGCGGTGAGCAAACCAAACAATTTGACAGGCTATTTCTCTACACAATTCTGATTACATCGGCAAACAACATTTTACCAAAAGAGGGGATCTAACTATACATGAACACCGACACACCACTCTGAAAATAAATGTCATGATGGGTTTTGTGTGAAAACCAAAATGGTTCGTAAAAGTATGCGAAAAATGTACCAAAACCATATGGATTATGCCACAAGATCAGAGAAAACGCGTGCTCAAGAGCAGAGAAAAATGTGTCACAAGAATAGAGATTCTTATAAAAATTAAAAAGACTCGAGAAAAAGAAAAGAAAATAAAAGACATAATATAAAAAAAACAAGAGAACTAATAGTCACCGACTGTCGGAAACCATATTAAGATTAGTATGAACAAAAATTAAAGAGAAAGAAAAATATGACACAAAAATATTGAAAGAAAATTTAATAAAAGTTTTAAATAAAACAAATGAAAATATTATTAAGATTTAAACCACAACTAATAAAGTTATATATAATTTTTTATTATAACTACGTAGTCCTTTTACTTTTACCACCGATAATTCAATTTTTAATCACACCACTTAACTATTTAATTTGTTCAATCAGACCACTAGACGTTAATATTTGACGAAACGATGACATGACAGTTAAAAGAATTGATATATTTCTACATATAGTCCTTAATATTTATATATTCTCTCAATTGGTCATAATTTAAATTTAATTTAATAAATTAATCATTCAATTAGGATCTGACATGTGTCAGTACAGGAGCATGACACGTGTCAATAAATAATTAGAGAATTTTTTATAATTTAAATTTTTTTCTATCCAATCGGGAGGCAACACATGTCACCTCCAAATTGGATAGAAAATAAAAGAGATGAAATTGCTCTTAGGTGAAACCAAACCTTGGACCATAGGGATGAGTAGACAAGCTCGAACCACTAGGACAAACCCCTCTCCAGTTACAAAACTTACATAATTTTCTATATAGTTTTTACTATTCTGAGCTTATTTTCTACCAAACGTTCTCAATATATAAATTTAAAAGCTTTTAAAATTTATTTTTATTTTTTAATATTTTTGATGAATAATATTTAAAAAATATTTGTTATAATCAGCAGTAATTAATTTATTAATAGATTAACTCTTGAATCAAATATTAAAAAAATTAATTCTAATTTATTTGCTTTTAAATTTATTTTTATTTTTTAATATTTTTGATGAATAATATTTAAAAAATATTTGTTATAATCAGCAGTAATTAATTTATAATAGATCAACTCTTGAATCAAATATTAAAAAAAATTAATCTAATTTATTTTTATTTATTTTCTTTTACCATTATCAAGCTTTAAAAGGATAAATATAATTTGTTGTAAGTAATAAACCACCAGAGATGTTTCTTGCAGTGGCTCGGGTGTTGTTTATCAATCCTTTGCACATTGGTTTGATTCCACCCAAGAGCAAATTCTTCCCCTTTATTTTGTATCCAATCGGATGGTAACATGTCACCTCCTGATTGGATAAAAAATTATTTAATTAAATAAACTTAAATTAATAAAAAATCCTCCAATCATGAATTGACACATGTCACTAACAACACATGTCATGCTCCAGTACTAACAATATCATATTCTGATTGAATGATAATTTATTAAATTAAATGTAAAATATGATCAAATTGAAAGAATATATAAATATTAAGGACTATATGTAGAAATATACCAATTCTTTTAACTGTCAGGTCAACATTTCGTCAAATATTACGACTAGTGGTCTGATTGAACAAATTAAATAGTTAAGTAGTGTGAGTTATAAAATTTGAAAGACGGTGACAAAGTAAAGGGAGTACATAGTTAAGTGGTCAACTGTATAGTTTACCCTAAATTTTAATATATTGACGAGTTAAGGACTAATATTTTGAACCAATAGTTAACGAAACTGAATACGAAGATATTTTAGAAAAGCACGTTATAAATATATTTTTTATTAATTCAATAACTCGATAACATAAAATATAAAAGAATTATCAATGAGAAATTATTTTAAAATATTGATATTTCATGTCTAAATTTCATGATAAAAAACATATTCATATATAAGGATGAAAGACAGGTACAATTAATGAATTTTGCATCGTATTCATGCCATTAGGAAGAAATAGATATAAGTTTAATGGGTAGTAGGCGGGTGTTGATGTAAAAAGTCATATCTACCGTAGGTAGTCGGAAAGTGATGGGTTAAGACCTTACTCGTCTCGCATCCGCCGCTCCACATCCATTCGTCCACTAACTATCCACTATATAAAATTTGAACCATTATGAATTTAGATATAATTCCAAAGATTATTTATAAATATTAAGATTTTATAGCACATTATAGTATAAACATTTTCAAAATTGAAGTTAGTTGTTTCTCCGATCTCAAATCGATGGGTACAAACATGTATGGAATGAGTGGTGGGTATCCAGTTAGTTAATGGGTGTGAGGATGGACTTAAGAATGTACTCGCATGGCCGGTGTGGATTTAAAAATTTTACTCGTCGTGTGTAGTGGGTAAATGATAGATACGAAAATATTAAGTGGATAAGAGATTGAGGAAGAGGTATCCGCACCGCCCCGCCCGTTTTCCTATTCATATATGTGCTTATCTAATATGACACAAATGAATCAAAACCTTTTTTTTCCAGGGTAAAGTACACAAATAGCCCCTTGACTATAGGGTGTTATTTTGTTGAGTCTTCAACCATTAAAAGTTATAAAATGGTTCATTGACTAGAGAGTATTGATTTGTTGAGTCTTTCAACTGTTAAAAGTTACAAATGGTCACATGACTATTATATGTTCCAAACTCGTTCTTTTTGTTAAAATATGATGATAGTCGGTTAAGTTATTTACTGAGATATGATAGTCGTTTCAGATTTTACGATCAAATTATTTATCACAATCAGTAGGTTAACGTCCAGCTCAGATTGCAGTCAATTTTATGAAAATGACGAGTTAGAACATATGAATAGTCAAATTATCATTTTGTAACTTTAATAGTCAAAGACTTAGTCAAGAACCGTTCCATAACTTTTAATAGTTAGTGGACTGAACAAAATAATATTCTATAATTGGGGGTCTATATGTACTATACCCTATTTTTTATTTATGTTAGCTAAAATAAGATTGAAGTTTCAAAACTTCCACTGTTCTATCATTTCATCATCTTTAATGTGAATATAGAAATAGGATTCTTAAAGTCTTACAAGTATAAAAACAATTACACCAATTTTGGATTTAAAATAAATGTTGATATATCAACACATAATGAAAGTAAGTCTAATATGAAATTAATCTAGGTTGTAGAGCTATTAATTATGGTAATTAGAAAAGGAAAAATCCAAAAAATTTTGGGTCTTAGGTATATAGAGTGGGGCTAATAATTTTTCGAAAGGTAAGGTAAGTTGGGTTCTATTCGATAGAGACAATGAATTTAATCAATTTGTCTGGGTTTTTCTTTTTTCTTTTTATACGCTAAGAAATGAGATCGAAATTTAGTTTTTTGTTCATCAAAAGTTAGAATTTTTGTTTAGTGGTATGAAACTTAAGAGCTTATTAAGGATTAATAACCGATTGATGTGGTTGAAAATTCGTTTTATAAATTATTATTATTATTATTATCTACGATTGTATTTCGGCAAAATTCTTCAGATAATGAGTTGAAATAAAAAAATTTCTTCAGATAATGCAACCCGAGAATTATTTGCTCATTTGGAGTGTTGCTACAGTTCGAGGGTTGGTCGCCAGATCCTCCGGGCAACCTCTATAGGTCGCCATGTCCTCCAAACGTTCAAGCATTGGTTTCCTAGATTTCCCATAAGTTACATTGACTACCTACGTCGGTAATTAGTGGTCCATAAGACTTCCGACAGGTACTGTAGTATTCACACTATATTAAAAAATAATTTCAGTTAGACCTTATTTTAACAAATAATTTTTTTCAAAACTCTACAGTAGCAAATCAGCCATTGTATTTCTTTTCATGCAAACATCTTGTTATTTATTACTGTTAATATGATTTTTTTCATTCATCAAAATCATAAAGCACTCTACTCCGTATAAATAAATTTTACCTCATGTAATAGCCCTATACATAGTTATAAAGCATAGTATTATGGATGAAACAAATATCTATAAACTGAGAGATTAATCTATAAATTTCACTCTGATATGACATTCACACGTTCTCTCAATTAATCAACAAAATATGTTAATGAAGATGGTGACCGGAGAAGTAATGATGAACAGGGAGATTAATCTCCACGGCGGGGTGAGACCAAAACCCCTAATCGAATCCTCCTAAGACCACACCATAGTTGCAATACAACTACAAGAGAATAGAATCCTCCAACTGCAGATAACCTGGAACCGAAAGAGAATGTGTTATATACGTATACATATTTATAATAATAGTAATAAAACTTTGGGATTTTGACAATATGGTAGGAGGCAACCAAATCTTATGGCGCATATGGTCCGCAACTGCGATCACATGCTTTTCTGCCTGCTACCATTTATTGCCCGCTTTTGACACTCACTCCATCTCTCTCTTTCATGTCACATGTACCAATCCACCTCAATACATAAAAAAAAGGAATTTTCTTTAAAACTTTCAGATTCAAACATAATCTATATTAGTATTTGAATATCTATCATAAATAATTTAAATTTTTTAACATATACTATCTTATAATCATTTTTAGTTAATAAAAAATGTTAACAACAACCTTTATTTAGATAACATATCTATCGTCAAATAATTTAAGTTTTTAGAAACAAACACCGCTAATTACCTTTATTTAGATAACATTCGTTGATTTTACATCAAATAACCATGACTAATATATGTAGCTTTATCTAATTAACAACAACAATACATTTTAATTTAGACATAATTTATGCATCAAAATACTTAACAACAAAGTACACAGTAATTTTTCTACTAAAAGTTATGCATAAACAAATGCACCATATTGTTCACTAGAATTTAGTTGTGCTCCTTCGTGGGAAAGGACGTAGGAAAGTCGTTTTCCTTGTTTCACGACGCATCGTTAAGTTTTTCCTCCGTGTAAAGTCTATATGGAGATACTCTTCATCCATTTCACCAAATAAATCCCCAACCTCCGGTTCACCAAGAAGACTCCTTGCGCGCTTCAGTGCTTCACTTGAAACAGATAACGACCTTCCACCTACAGTATCAAACTTGATTGGAAGTGGCTTGCGAACAGAATCAAACATTAATTTTTTTTAAATAGATGATAGAAACGTTTACTTGGAGTACAGTTGAGGCAATGTCGTCTTCATTGAGGATAGATATTGCTTTTGCAATTGAATATTCTTTCAATGCCACAGAGTTACAAATTTGGTTCTAAGCATAAGGTATTTAGCCACTCCTCTATCATCGTTCTCAATAAGTTTTGAACATCCTACATGCGTGCGAACTATGAAATTTAGAGTACAAAATTAAAATGTAGCGGCAGAAACTTTCACGATTATTACCTTCAATTAGGAGATCAACCATGGAAGGATTTGGAGCAATATGAGTCCTTTTGGGTCATCATCGAGTTTCGACGGCAAGCTTGGACCGATAGGCTCCCAACGATAATTTGATCCATCATCAGAGCAAATACGCCAGGTGGACATTCCAACGATAATTTCCCTTTCTCAAGGCAACACTGTTGTTTGTACCATAACCATTTTTTCAAGTTTTCAAAGGTATTATTTTCCTATTCGAAAACTATTACTTTTCTATTCGAAAGCAGAAAAACATTGATCCCAAGCAGTAAACCAGTAAAACAGTATGTATATA